TACTGTTGAAATGAGTTATTCACAAACTGCCACAATTACTGTACTGTACTTTGCTTGTTGAGTGAAAGTCTATCTATCTATCATTATCTAGACTCTTATCTTGTAACAAAATTAATTAAATTTCAAATAAATGCCTTTCTTTTCTTTTCATCTATTTGGTTATATATTTAAACATTATTTATTTAAACTAAACTTCAGTTTACGCTGGTACTAGCTATCTATCTATCTATCTATCTATATGGCCGTACAATTTTGGGGTCAGATATTTTCAAATAAAATTCATACTTTTTTCAAGAATGCATTAAATTGATCAAAATTGACTCGTATCTTGTTACAAAATAAACTATATTTCAAGTAAATGGCGTTTTTTTCTTTTCATCTATTCATCAAATAATCCTGAAAATAAATATTTTTAATATAAATAAATTGTATTATAAATAAAACTGTTTTCAACATACAGTAGATAGTAATAAGAAATGTGTCTTGAGCACCAAATCAGCATATTATAATTATTTCTGAAGCATCATTTGACACTGAAGACTGGATTAATGATGCTGACATTTCAGCTTTACCATCACAGGAATAAACTAAATTTTAAAAACAGAAAACAGTTATTTTATATTATTATCCAATTATATTAATTGTGATGATATTTTCGATCACATAAATGCAGCTTTGCTGAGCTTAAGAAAGAAACGGTCATTTATCAAACTCTTATTCTGCTTTTGATTTTTTTGATTATTACTGACTGCACCGTTAACACTATACCAGATAAATACCCATAATACTACATCACATTTGCGGCACATTCTACAATATCCAACAGCAAATACAAACTGTATCAAGCTCCACTTTTGAGTTGGTAAGCTGCCATGACTGTAACAGAAACCATCTTAGCTTACATTAAACTTGAGAGAAGCTGCTGAAAAGCGATGCCAAGATTTCATGTTTGAATTTGCAGCTTTATCAAGGGGAAAAACTACAGAGCAACTTGTGATTACACATCAAATGCAGCACAAAATCTTCTGTTGTTGGAAAACAGAAACCAGCTCAAGTTGCTCTGTGTTGCTGTGGCTGTTTAGACAGCTGTGCGGGTGATTCATTTGTTTAACGTGTTGGCTTTAAACTTCAGCCGAATTTCGCCATACATTTCTACATGCCTCCTGCTGCGTTCATTTTTCCTGCAGTGATGTCATAGTCAATTCATCTGATAACACTGTGTGCAGTGCAGCGAGGGAACAACCGATCCTCTTGTGTGCCGCAGTTCATTGGTGGTTAAAGCAATCAGACTGGTGACTACAGACATTAATGAGATTTATCCATTCTAATGCTCAAGTAATTTAATATGATGACGGGGGAAGGCAGTATAGCTGCCATGCGTGACTTTTCACAAAAGCTAATGACTGCTTATACAGTGGGGTCTCAGAGTCTGAAATCACTCTGTGAAGCAAGAACAAAGAAAAGTTATGACATAAAACGAACACCAAATATTTATGTTTCTAGGTCACTAAATCAAATGTAAGCAAATCTGTAACACAGACCAGGCAAGGTACAAAATGTCAGATATTCTTGCCAGAAAAAGATGCTCTTTGCAACATGCCGGATTACGTGAATTGTTAAATCATGTTCATTTTTTACTGTTCAACTTTTTACTTTTTTATGCTAAAGACAAATGAAAGAAAATAATGGAAAAACGTGCATTAAATTTGAAAAATGCAAAGTGAAAGTGTCTTCAGGACTTCAGGAATCCCACTGTAACCGTTACACCAGAAAACTGCAGAGAAGACACTCTGATGCTACAAACAGATATTTTTTCTTTGGAAATATTGAAAAGAAACTGGTCACGGTTCATTATTTTAATAGCGATAGAAACGATCAATAGTCATAAAAAGCAAACTCTGAGTGTTCTGAGTGTGAAAATATTAAATGATACACTACATTGCACCTGTCTGAATCTGCTCATGGGGGTTAACCATGTGAGCGCTCTTCACTTCTGCCAAGTTTTCCAAGCTTTTCAGAGCCAATTTCACAGACCATTGGCTGAACTCAAACAATTAATGCAGTTCTTTTAGTCATTAGACTGCTGAAGTCCATTGCAGTTTGTATGAGGGAAGCACAAAAAAAAGAGTATAAATTAAACACATTACATGTTTATAACCATGTTTGCTTAGTGAGTGCTTCTTAGCTTAAAAATGACAATGATAAAAGCAAATATAAAAAGTATAAAATAGGTACAAAGGGTACATTTTGTGTTCACAGAAGAAAGAAGGTTTTGAATGACATGACAGTGAATAGTAATTTTCAAATTTGAGTAAACTGTCCTTTTAATACAGATTGTGTGGTTTTACTTTGTTAATTGCAATCAATCACAAGGCAAGATCCAGAAATGAATTCTGCTAGATGAAACTGACCTGGAACCCCAGCCTTCATCCACATGTTAATGTCTGTTCCCTCTCCATGTTCTTCAAGCGACGTGACATTGATGGGAGCCAACAGTTTCATCACCTCCTTCATGATTGCCCGAGCTTTGTCACTGCCAGTGAACTGCAGTCCCAGAGGACTGAAGGTGCCCAGGTCAGACTCCATTACCAGGTCAAAGTTCGAGATGTTTACCTTAGGAGAAGTGGAGAAGAAGTCACCACAAAAATCAGAGTAGAAACATACAAAAAAATGCTATTATAATATTTTTTGCTGCGGCGGCCGGGGAGCAGTTGGGGGTTCAGTGCCTTGCTCAAGGGAACCTCAGTCGTGGTACTGAAGGTGGGAGAGAGTGCTGTACATTCACTCCCCCCACCTACAATTCCTGCTGGACCTGAGACTTGAACCCGCAACCTTTGGGTTAAGAGTCTGACTCTCTAACCATTAGGCCGCGACTTTCTGCTGTATTTGCTATATTATAAGAGAATAAATTATATTACATTATATTATATTATATTATATTATATTATATTACGACGGCGTTTTAGTGCCACGTTAAAAAAAAAATGTAATCTACGATTACAAGATTAAGGTCGTAATATTTCAAGAATAAAGTCGAAATTATGAGAATAAAGTCGAAATACTATGAGAATAAAGTCAAAATATTATGAGAATAAAGTTGAAATGTTTCTAGAATAAAGTCGAAAAATTACGAGAATGTTTCGACAATAAAGTCGAAATATTACGGGAATAAAGACGAAATGTTTCGAGAATAAAGATTAAAGTTATAATATTTTGAGAGTATATTCTAGTCTTTTGCACATGCAAATGGACCGGATTGGGAGCACCAGGAGATATTCCAAAGTCTCAGCTTTCAAAATCTGTCAGTTTTATAGCGAAATACAAACAATATATTACAATAATGAATGGAAGACGTTAAATATTATGTTCAATCATTTACTGTATTCAAACTCCTAGAAGGTCACAAGCTGTGTTGGACTAATAACTAATATTGGGGTAAACATATATGGAATTCACTAATCGCATTCACTTTAGATTACATACGCAGTACAAGGCGAGTGTCCATGATAAATTATAGAAAAACATCTTTCAAAAAAGCTTCTTAGGAAGTATTCTTTGTATTCATGTTGTTTTCATATGGTTTTGAAAGTTTTGCAAGAAAAGATTCGATATAATTACTATGAAATATCATGAGGTGTAAATTAATCAATTATAAATCATTCAATTTCATTTCAAATGAATTATTTCAGTCACACTTTATTTTAAGGTCCAAATCACGCTATAAGCAAGCAATTAACTATGATTTTTGCCTCAATAAACTGCTAATTTGCTACTTATTAATAGTTAGTAAGGTAGCTTTTAAGTTTAGGTATTAGGTAGGATTAGGGATGTAGAATATGGTGGTGCAGAATATGTGCTTTATAAGTACTAATAAACAGCCAATATGTTAATAATATGCATGCTAATAAGCAACTAGTGAGAATTGGCCCCTATACTAAAGTGTTACCTTTAATTTACATCATTCGATTTTCAGTTGCACTACATGGCATTTTACCGCCTGAAATAACCTCAACTTGTCATAGAAAAGGTCAAATTATTTGATTCTTTGAAAGAATTATTGACCTTGACACATTGTCATAAGGATCCACAGGGGTCCTCTCTATGATAATTTTTCCCAGCATGGTTCTGCCTGTTGGCTTAAAGCTTTTATAATAATAATAATAATAATAAGAAGAAGAAGAAGAAGAAGAAGAAGAAGAAGAAGAAGAAGAAGAAGAAGAAGAAGAAGAAGAAAAAGAGATTATGCCAAACTACTTAATAAGGTTTTCTTTTCAAGATATTAATTTCTTTAATGAGGCTCTTTTTCTACATTATGATTTCAGGACAGTTGTGTCACCCTGACATTTTTTACTTAAATGTCAGAAAAACATATATATCAAGGTGAATTTGATTCCAAAATGAAAAATATTCATAGAAGAGGTGTATTCGGGTCAGTGTATGCATGATAGCATTTTTAATGCCTTTATGAACAAATTAATCAGATGAGAGAAAAAAAATCACTGACAGACAATAATTTAGCAATTAGTGAATATGTCCAAACAACAACACTGGCAAATGGAACACTGAAGAAAAAATAAACATAAACTAATTACTGCTCGTGGCTTAACTAACTACCTAACTAACTAACCAACAATAATCCATCTGAAACCAAACATTAAAGGCAGAGTAAGTGATTTTTCAAAAACACTTTAGAAAACTGATTCGGGCCGAATCACAAAACAAACTTGTAGCCAATCAGCAATAAGGGGCGTGTCTACTCGTGATGTGGAGGAGAGCGCGTTCAGTGCATGGGACCAATAGCCGAGCCGAGCGACAGAAAGATAGAGATGACGGATAAAAAAACAAAAGAGGAAAACGTCTGCGGAACCATACGGCAAGAAGTAGGACCCGTGTAAATATCGGATCAGCTTTCCAGCACTGGAGAGAACTAAAACATCTTCCAAACACTAATCTTTTACAATTATTTTAAAATAGTAATTAAAAATACTAAAAATAATATAATGAGTTATAAACACATGCATTTTCATTGAATTATTTATGGTTAATTTTAGAAGAGCAATATACAGTGGCAATTAATTCACAGCACGTTTTTTTTCTGATTAAAAAATAAAAAATTAAGCATTTAAAAAAATATATCATAAAAATGCTTATAGGGTAATTCTGTGTCAACACAGCCAGAGGGTCTGGTGAAAGACATGGACAAATATAGAAATAAAGAAGAAAGCCAGCTCTATGCATTGCACAGTGACCCACATTTGGTTTTTGGCCATTGAAAATGGATCAAATTTAACAATTATCTCTAGGACTGAATCTCACATAACCTTAAAAATGAAGATGCCAAAAGAAAAGTCTGTTACGAATGAGAAACCAAAATCATGTAGAGACACAGATATGCAAACTCTGGGTTGGTTGGTTGGACGGATGGATGGACACACACACACACAAACACACACACACACACACACACACACACACACACATACACACACACACACATACATACATACATACTGTACATACATACATACATACATACTCGAAAAGCATCTTTTCCCCACTTTTGAACTGTCACCATTGGCATATAATGCAGGCGTACCGCGTCCCTTTCGAACGAAACTCTGACAGAGTGAAAGACCAACGAGTGGAATATGTTCAGGTATGAGTTTTGATATCGTATGAAGTATTGTGTACCATCACAGTATAGCAGTTTATGCTGCCATTTGTGCCCTCTTGAACTGTGCTTCAGGGCAGTGATTTACGCTACTGTGTTTCATGTGTTTTGCAGAGAATCTTTGAGATTGAAGGCCGGCCTGTTCCCCATGAAATTATCTTTGTGGATGAGGCTGGTTTCAACCTGACCAAAAGAAGGAGGGAGGAATATAATTGGCCATCGGGCTATTGTAAATGTCCCTGGTCAGCGCGGAGGGACTGTCACTATGTGTGCAGCCATCAGCCAATGAGGGGTACTCCACCGTCATGCCATTCTAGGACCCTATAACACTATGCTCCTCCTTGCTTTCCTTGATGGTCTAAGAGAGCATATGTTATTTACAGCACCATTAAGGTTCTATATAGCACTTTCAAAGCATGGCTCTTTATGGAACCCTATAAAAAGGGTTCTATTTAGCACCAAAAAGGGTCCTGCTATTGTTACAAGCTGAATAACCATTTTTCTTAAGAGTGTACTCTCACCATTAAAACAGAAAACACACAAACCTAGTAAAACCTTTTTGTCAGATGCCATAACCCAAGACAGCAAAATCATCCATTAAATAATTCTAAACATAACTAATTGTGAGAGTATACTGTGTGCTTTCAGGATAAAAGAAAAATTCCTTTCAATTCTTTGATAGAAGATTTTAAAAATGCTCTTTCATAATGAACAGTGATGGGAGTTACACCACATGGCCTAGCCTGGCATAGCCTGAAATAACCTCAACTTGTCATAGAAATGGTCAAATTATTTTATGTTTTGAAAGACTTATTGACCTTGACACATCATCATGAAGATCTGCAGGGGTCCTCTTTATGATATCTTTTTTCATTTTCCTAAATGTTTCTGCATGTTGGTTGCAAGTTTTTATATTATTATTATTAACTACTTAAGGTATTATTTTCAATAATTTCATTCTTTAATTAGGTTTATTTCTACATTATAATTTCAAAACAGTTGTGTCACCCTGACATTTTTACTTAAATGTCAGAAAAAATATATATATCAAGGTGAATTTAATTCAGAAATGAAAAACATGCTATTCATAGAAGAGATGTATTCAGGTCACTGTGTACATAAATGGCATTGTTAATGTCTTTATGTATATATTATATCAGATGGCAACAAAAATAAGTGTCACGTTACGTCACTAATTTGGTAATTACACTGACAAAAAGGAAAACCACTTACTGCTCTTGGCTGGACAACTAACTAACTAACAATAATCCATCTGAAAGCGACCATTAACAAACTTAGACTAAAAAAGGAAAATGAATTGTAAAACTGATTTCAATCAAATAAATCAAATGAATATTAATGCAATGCATTTAACAATTCTTTTAATTTCAAACAATTATTCAGTGGAACCATGGAAAAGATTCACTCATTTATTACTTATTACTTTTCTTCACATGTAATTCAATCAGTGATTTTTTAGCTGTAAGTTGTGAACTACTTGCAACACAGCAAATTAAAGTTTGAGTTTATCTGTCCTGCTGCAGCTGAAAATAGAACATTATGAATTAGCATTCCAATATATTTAAATTAACTTAATTAACATAATTACATTAACTTTTTTTTTTTCTTCAAATCTTCCCACGGTTTGCATGTTCGACACACTTGTTCTAAATCATCCAACAGAACATAACAGTGTTAATATGATAGGGAAGTGTACTTTGTGCTGTTGGAAGTACTGAGCTGCTCCCACCCCGCCTGGCTCCTCTGCGGACCACAGCACCGTCCTCAGTGTTCTTTTGGGACGCAGCCCTGGGGACCCAAACAATCGACAGTATGAGCTAACCACAAAATATTTCAGAATACATTTTCATAACGCAGCCACTGTAATATTGCTTCACTGGCTAAGATCAAGGTTAGTCGCTTTCATCAATCTGATTTTTTGCAGAAAAGGACAAGAGAAGATTACATTTATTTTTAAAATAAAAGTGCATATGTAAGGTCAGGTTGACACATCAGAGACGGCATGCTGACGTATCTGGGAAGGCAATGCTAGATGATCCTGGCCGTCCAGACAGTTGCATACTGGGCACTTGATAACTTGTCTGTACTTCCTGCAGAGTGGAATCTGTGAGAGATATTTTGGGCTTAATTGTGTTGGGCTTTCTCGATGATCCAGATGGGAGAGCTGTCCGTATGTGCATCCATCTCCTAAACTGCAAGGTATACATAGGAAAACAAGTCACTGTGTCTAGGTCAAATGGCACAGAAGAGGATGCAGCCGAAAGAACGTAATATACCAGAACATGAGGCTAATACGAGTAGATTTATGGATTCTGAGCAAATAGCTCACACTGTTGCAATAATAAAAAACTTGCATAGTAGAAACAGAGCCAAGGACTCGATGAACTGAACGTTGTTGTTGAGCATTTAAAATGTTGTAGAGAATGCTTACTCTACCAGCAGTGAAATTAATCATGTTGTCTGTGGTTATTGTGCACCATTATAGCTTTATTTCGCCAGTGTTTGTGGACGCCATTGCCAAGAGAAAGATGTTAAATACAAATGAGCACAACCCTCGGTATTGCCTGTGCAATAAAGCAACAATAGAGAGGAGAGGGGCCAAGAGATTCACATCGCATTGCATATTGACACTCAGCAGGAATTTTAATAATCTCCATTAATAACAGAATACTCTCAATACACTGCACTGCTTCAACAGTTACTGCACTTGCCCCCAAAAATAATATGCATACAGTCTATACTAAAACATCTTCCAAACACTAATCTTTTACAATTATTTTAAAATAGTAATTAAAAATACTAAAAATAATATAATGAGTTATAAACACATGCATTTTCATTGAATTATTTATGGTTAATTTTAGAAGAGCAATATACAGTGGCAATTAATTCACAGCACGTTTTTTTTCTGATTAAAAAATAAAAAATTAAGCATTTAAAAAAATATATCATAAAAATGCTTATAGGGTAATTCTGTGTCAACACAGCCAGAGGGTCTGGTGAAAGACATGGACAAATATAGAAATAAAGAAGAAAGCCAGCTGTATGCATTGCACAGTGACCCACATTTGGTTTTTGGCCATTGAAAATGGATCAAATTTAACAATTATCTCTAGGACTGAATCTCACATAACCTTAAAAATGAAGATGCCAAAAGAAAAGTCTGTTACGAATGAGAAACCAAAATCATGTAGAGACACAGATATGCAAACTCTGGGTTGGTTGGTTGGACGGATGGATGGACACACACACACACACACACACACACACACACACACACACACACACACACACACACACACACACACACATACACACACACACACATACATACATACATACTGTACATACATACATACATACATACTCGAAAAGCATCTTTTCCCCACTTTTGAACTGTCACCATTGGCATATAATGCAACAAGGATAGCTAAAGTCAACAGATTTTACTAATAAACCATCCAATCTCTGTGTAAAAATAACATAATGATGCTGCCATTTTTCTAAATTCATTTTCTACACACACACACATACATACATACATACTGTACATACATACATACATACATACTCGAAAAGCATCTTTTCCCCACTTTTGAACTGTCACCATTGGCATATAATGCAACAAGGATAGCTAAAGTCAACAGATTTTACTAATAAACCATCCAATCTCTGTGTAAAAATAACATAATGATGCTGCCATTTTTCTAAATTCATTTTCTCCCCCTGTAATTTGGCTGAACTCTCAAGTGAAAATTGTCATTTTGACGGCCCTTTACAAATTAGTGGATAACTCAGCAAATATTCATCCATGACATTTAATATTTTGGCTTCAATCACTATTTATGTTAAAAAAATTTACTTAATCAAACAATTTAGCCTGGAAAGCTTCTCAGATTGGGTTGAATGACCCTATAACTTCTCTCATGTGTACATCTCAGTCACTGGCAGCTGTATATAACTAAATATTTAGTCATGTGACAGAGAGAGGGGTTCTCAAAATGTTACCATCTTCAGAGGTCTCACCTAAGTCTCTGATCAAAGAAAGTGCTTCCCAGGAAATGGCGACCCCACCTCCATCATCCATAGCGCCCTGGCCCACGTCCCAGCTGTCCAGGTGACCACTGAGCAGCACCACCTAAAACAGAATCAGAGCAAAATCATACAAATGAATAGTAAAATAAATATTTCATAACATATTTTATCAGCATTGTTTCCTTTGTTTTTTTCTTTTCTTTTTATAGTAACACAATTGTTTATTCATGTATAAAAAGGGTTTACATAACAGACTGTAAAGGGAAAAAGGCATCCTGGCAACCTTTTCCAGATGTTGACTGTCAGTCTAAAATGGATCTTGTCAAACCCAGGCCACAGTGAAAGCCTTTAAACTGATGGTCTAGATTAGATTTAAACTCTAAACATCCTCCTCTCATAGTTCTAACACTGGCTAAATATATCCCTCTACTCCACCGAGAGCATCTTCTACCACTTTACATTCACTTTTGGCAGAGCTGCAAAACTTTAGGAATATAGCTTACAAATAATGCTCTCCAATTTTATTTTATACTGTCAATCTGCCATTCATACAATAGCCTCTATGGGCTGTTAAAATTTTATGGCAATAAACATCCTGAATGCTTGTAAAAAATGCTTGTGAACATTTGGGGAATAAAGCTCAAACGAAGTCTGTTTTTGAGACTCGCCTCAGTTAAGTGTGGATTTTCCAGTTGATTTGTCAGCTATCTGCCTACAGCATCCCGTTGGCAAATATACAAATGCTGTCTGGACATCCGCCAATCAGCTACAAGCCCACTCCCTCCAAATGTATTTTTGAATACTGTGACAGATTTTGTCTATACCGTGTCATGTTGTTGTCAGTCCCATGACAGGTTAACACTCCCAACAGCATCACGAGAAAAGGCTAACGGTAATCTATGCCAACCATCTGTGAGTTACAACGGGTGAACTCTAAAGCAACAGCCAACGTGCCAACAGCAAAAGTACAAAAACATTCTGTAGTGACCGTTCTTTTGTGTTGAACAAAATCTACTGTGAGACTTGTGCTTTCATGATCAGACACCAAAAACACACAGATGGAACGTCTAGGTAGAAACAGTTCAGACTGTTCTTTAGTGCTGCTGAATTATTAAACAGGAGACAAATCGGGTCGTTATTTAGTCATTCTTGTGCCATTTCAAACCCGAATGGTGTTGCTTTTTTCATTTTGAAGACATTTTGAAGAATTTTTTTACAGTACATACAAAAAAACTGCTAATGGCAGCTATCAAGCTTCAAAAAGGACAAAGAGCATCATTATATTAGACAATATGACTGTTGCCCAATTTGTAAAGTCTACTAAATTCATAAAGTGAGCTAAAAGAGAGACATTCAAGTTATCATTTACCAATAATATTCCCTTCCATAAAGTTTTGAAATGTCATTCACATTTGTGTTTAAACTCGAGTCAAAATGGCCTGTAAAAGTCAAAAATACACTAGCATTCATACGTTTGGGGTGTGATTTTTTTAAATAATTACTGATATCATTATGGATTTATTTTACTGAACAAAAGTGACAGACAAAATGTTTATTTCAAGTAAACACTGTTATTTTCACCATACACTACCGGTCAAAGGTTTGAGATCTGTAAGACTTATAATGTTTTTTTAAAGAAGTCTCTTATGCTCATAAAGGCTGTATTTACTTGATCAAAAATACAGAAAAAAACGGTAATCTTGCAAAATGTTATTACAATATAAAATAATGGTTTCTATTTTAATATTCATTAAAATATAATTTATTTCTGTGATGCAAAGCTGAATTTTCATCAGCCATCACTCCAGTATAAAGTGCCACATGATCCTTCAGAAATCATTCTAATATGCTGAATTAATATTAGAATTATGAATGTTGACAACAGTTGTGCTGCCAAATATTTTTTTTGGAAACTGTGATACTTTTTTCAGGATTCTTTGATGAATAAAAAGTTAAAAAGAAGAGCATATATTCAAAATATAAATCTTTTCTAACAATATAAATCTTTGCTATCACTTCTTAATAATTTAACACATCCTTGCTGAATAAAAGTTTAAATTTCTTTGCAAAAAAAGAAAGAACAAAAATGTACTGACCCCAAACTTTTGAACTGTAGTGTATATTGTTAGAAAAGATTTCTATTTTAAATAAATGCTCTTCTTTTTAACTTTTTATTCATCAAAGAATCCTGAAAAAAGTATCACAGCTTCCCAAAAAATATTAAGCAGCACAACAGTTTCCAGCACTGATAATAAATCAGCATATTAGAATGATTTCTGAAGGATCATGTGAGACTGAAGACTGGAATAATGATGCTGAAAATTCAGCTTTGAATCACAGGAATAAATGAGATTTTAATGTATATTAAAATAGAAAAACGTTATTTTATATCATAATAATATTTCACAATATTAAATTTTTCCTGTATTTTTGATCAAATAAATCCAGCCTTGATGAGCATAAGAAACTCCTGTAAAAAACATCAAAAATCGTTCTGATCCCAAACTTTTGACCGGTAGTTTATATATTAAGCAGCACAACTTACTTTGTACTCTGATAATAAAAAGAAATGAGCACAAAATCAGCATATTAGAAAGATTTCTGAAGAACGGAGCAATGGCTGCTGAAAATTCAGCTTTGCTGTCACAGGAATAAATTGCATTTTAAAATCTATTATAATAGAAATCAGTTATTTTAAACTGTAATAGTTTCATAATATTGCTGTTTTTACTGCATTTTTTTATTAAATATATTGAGCCTTTGAGACTTCTAATAAGAGACTTCTTACCAACCCCAAACTTTTGAATAGTATAAATAATAACGAATAAAATAGATCAAATAACACTGAGTAAATAAAGGGTAAATAATGATTTTTTTAATTATTGAGTGAAATATTCATTGAAATTCCTTCAAGAAAACAGTCACTGGTAACATGAAATGTGGAAGTAAATTTGGCATAATTTCCAGCATTATGCCACCGCTTACACAGAATCAAGAACATCTAAAAGCTGTACATCAATGCACAAAATCAACATAAAACGTTGTGTAACTTCTGGTCATTTCTGTAATCCTCTTCAAAGCCAGCTCACAAACAGAAACTATTTTCCCCTTCTTTCAAGTGCAAAATGCAAACAAACAAAAAGTAAACCAGATTTCTTCAGACTGATGTTAAACCGGCACTGCATACACTACTGGTTTGGCAGGAGGACCGGCATAATTTGATGTGGTCCTGAAATATGGAACTGATGGATTAATCTAAACAAGTTTTTATGCATAAAAGAAAATAAAAATATTTTTCTAATTGCCGTTTCGGTTTTGAATATATTTCAGTCTAGTCTAGTAATACTGACAGCATAACCATGCTGTCTGGCCAAACACAAATCATGAGAATGTGAAAAAGAAAGGAAAAACAAAACAAAAAAGACCCAGGCATAGGCCAAAAAAAGCAGGTTTAGTAGTGAGTACTGAGACAAAGAGAGATCTGTTTCCAGATTAAACTTAACTTCCTAATAACTACGTGACAGTGTGGAATGTAAGGGCTGACTGACCTCATAATTAAACACTATCATGTCACCGTTAATGAGCTCTGACAGGATGAGGCTATTAATTACGAAGCACTGAAATATGAATGAGGGAGTGAAATTAAGAGAGTGCACAGGGAGAGGATGAGTTGAGCCTAATGAGCCCGCTATCCAAGGGGAGTAATACTGAAACACACAATTCAATATCCTGCAGTAAATCTGGACCAGACAGGGGCCAAAACCTATAACTAGCTGAACAATGAAGATGTGTAAATGAAAATGAAAACACATGCTAATCAAATGTATGTAACCGCAGCTTGATATTTGGAATGAAATCATACAGTGATTCAAAAAAAAAAAAAAAAGTAGTATGCTTAGTTCTCACTTAAACATCACTGTGCAAATGTTGATGTAGACATTTGATACAAATGTAGATACGAACTACTGGTTCAAACCAAGAAGCACACCAGTGGCCATTTTTAAGAATAAAATTATTCTTAACTGCTTTCTTTCTTACTTCCTAAGAATAACATAAAGAATAATTTGTATTCTGGATAGTTAACCCAAAAATGAAAATTGCGTTTCTTTCTTGTGTGGAACACAAAAGAAGATATTTTGTGACTTCCAAAGTAGGAAAAAATACTATGGAAGTCTTTTGTCTCCAACAGAAGAAGGGGGGGAAAATGTCATACAGGTTTAGAACAGCAGTAAATGATGACTAAATGTTTCATTTTTGAGTGAACTATCCCTTTTAAGAATGTTTTTATCTGTTCTAAAAAAAATGTAGGAAGAATTTTAACATCATAAATAGGCCTGCAGACAGATTGACAGAAAGTCGGAGGTTAAACAAACTGTCCCTCATTCATTCTCTCCACCCCCACCACTTCCTGGAACTCCATCATTGTGTGTGCTAAAAAAGAGTGTAGCGTTTAGCGCAAAACCAGAGAGTGGTTTAAAGAACGTGTGGTGAGAGAATGAGCAAGCTTTTAAGAGAGCGGATGAGGGGAAGAACTCGCTGTGAAATGAACAGCCTGTACTGTACGCTCTTCAACAAGTCAGTAAATCATTCACAAACCACCTTCAGAAGACTTTGTTGTAACTCAAATCATCATGAAATAGAAGAGGACAAAACAAAAGAACTAGGCAGTGATGAAATGTCTGACAAGATCCTAGAAATGTTCAAAATGTGTTGCCTCAGCAACTGTCAGCAATGAAAATTTGTTTTGTTTTTCCTGACTTAAAGGGTTACTCCACCCCAAAATGAAAATGTTGTCATTAATCACTTACCCCCATTTCGTTCCAAACCCGTAAAAGCTTCGTTCGTCTTCGAAACACAATTTAAGATATTTTGGATGAAAACCAGGAGGCTTGTGACTGTCCCATTAACTGCCTAGTAAATTACGTTATGAAGCGACGAGAAAACTTTTTGTACGCAAAGAAAACAAAAATAACGACTTTATTCAACAATTAATCTCCTCTGTGTCTCTCCGCATCACCGTAGTGCCATTTTGGAGAATATCCGCTGAACACAAGCAGCGTACGCTCTTCTGTGTCAGCCGCGACACAAGGATACGTTTTCTAC